ACTTTTTATGATGGCATACACTTGAGTGATATTTACAAAATGCCCATCAGATGTCAGCAGAAAATAAATTTTGATGATGACACACAGCTGGGTGTTATTTCCAAAATGCACACTAGACAGCAGCAGAGAATGAATATGCATATGCAAATGCTGGAGTGATATTCCTGAAATGCCCATCAGATGGCAGCAAAGAATAAATGTTTTTACAGATGCTCTAATTAGCAAGTTGCACGCGAGATGAAGGCAGGAAAAAATTTTCATAATGGTAAACACTTGCGTGTTATTCCCACAATGTCCACCAGCTTAGAGTAGAAAATAAATTTTTATGACGAGATACACTCGCATATTATTTTCAAAAAGCCCAAGAGATGGCAGCAGAGAACAACTTTTCATGATATGCACTCCTGTGTTTTACCCAAGATGCACTTGAAATGGCAGCAGACAAAATTTTTTCAAAACATGCCTTTGGGTGTTATTTCAAAATGCACACAAGATAGCAGCAGATATAACTTTTCATGCATTGTGGTGTTATTCCCAAAATGCCCACCAGATGACAGCAAGAATAAATTTTGTTACTTTTACTCTGGTGTCATTCTCAGGATGCACACTAGATGAAGGCAGATAATGGATATTAATGACGACCTACACTGGGTGTTATTCCCAAAATGTCCACCAGATTGCAGCAAAGAGTAACTTTTTTATTACCTGCACTCTAGAGTTCTTCCCAAAATGTCCACCAGATGACAGTAGGAAATACATTTTAACAATGACATTTACTTCTGTGTTATTTTGAAAATGCCCACAAGATGGCAACAGAGAAATTTTTTTTCATGACTAGTAGTCCTGTGTTTTCCCAAGATGCACATGAAATATCAGCAGACAGAAACTCTTCCTAACAATAGGCACTTAGGTGTTATTTTCAAAATGCACAAGGGATAAAATCAGACATAACTTTTGATGACCTGACCTGTGGTGTGCTTCCCAAATGCCTACCATTAGCAGCAGAGAAAGAATATTCATGATGACAAAAGCTAGGGTGTTATTCTTCAAATACCCACAAGATGGTAGCAAACAATACATTTTATTACACTGGTGTTATTCTCAAGATACACACCGAATGCTGATGATAAATTTTCAGGATGGCGTACACTCAGGTGTTATTCCCCCAAATGCCCACCACATGGCAGAAGAAAATAATTTTAAGATGACATACACTTGGGTGTTATTTTCAAAATACACAAGAGATGGCAGCAGAGAATTAACTTTTCATGACCTGCACTGTGGTGTCATTCCCACAATGCCCACCAGATGGCAACAGAGAATGAATAGTCCCTATGACCTATACTAGATGACCCATACTCAGGTATTATTCCCAAGATGCACACGAGATGGCAGCAGAGGGTAATGAATAATTTTTCATGGCCTACACTGCGGTGCTGTTCCCAAATTGCATACAAGATGGCAACTGAGAATAGCTTTTCATCATGACATTCACTTGGGTGTTATTTTAAAAATGCTAGGGCCACATTCCACATTTGTAGGCTTCTCACCTCTCTTGGAGGCTGAGGCTCTGAGGCAGGAGGTGCTTGTCTCAACCACATGCATGCTGGGAACTGAAACACCCCCAAGGGGCTATCTGGACTGCCAAAGTGGCTGTTAAAATGCCCCGCATCATGGTCAGCTCTTTAGTTAGCCAGGGGAAATTGACAGGGCCCAGGCTGGATCACAGATGCTTGCCTGCATGGAAAGAGGCCAAGGGCTTTCCTGTCTGAGACCTGACTGTCCACTGCTGCCTACTGGGATGGGAGGAAGGATACACCAGCCCTCAGGAAGGCTGCATCTGGGGGCTGGCAGGCCATTGCACTGACTCCTGTATAAATCTACACGGTCTATCCAATCCCTGACTCGTGTGTGATCCTGGGCACGTCCTGCCCATTCAGCTGGTGCCTGGTCAGGAGGGGTGGGTGTGGAGGGCAGGCAGAATGGGATGGGACGGTGGTGGGATGGGGCTAGGAGACAACTCAGCCAGCCTCCCTTGGTTCAGGGGCCTGTGACTCCTGTCTTCTAGGAGTGGAAGCCGCCAGACCTCAGCTCTCCCATGCGAATCAGAAGATGTGTAAGATCAGGGTTCTGCCAGGCCCTCTCCATCCACAGACTCCAGACTCGCCCTACCCTGTTCCATAGACACAGGCAGCTCTCCTTCTGACCCAAAGACCACTCCCTTTGTGGGTGGCTCTCTGGTCTGCCACCCTGGCCAGGGTATGGTAGGAGGCCTCCAGATGCAGAGGGGGCCATGACGGCATCAGACCTGGAGGGTGGTGGACAGGACCTGCAAATCTTGTCAGAGTGCCTGTGTGACTAGAGTTAGACCCACAATTGCCTGCTTCATTCCCTGAGTTATGCTGTTTCAAAGCGCCTGCTTGTAGTAGGAACTTCATGCACTTTGTTGAATAAACTCTAGCCAGAACCATCCCAAATATCCGAGTGGGTCCGGGACCCCCTTCTGTCCTGAGATCCCTAATCTGGCTGCACCAGGGGCAAAGACAAGGGCCACCAGATGGAATCTCAGCCCTTGGCAGGTTGTTTTCCATGTGCTTTCCAAATTCTGAAAAGCCACAGGCCACTGATGGGGGAGGCAGATGACCTTTCATGGACAAGGGAGAAATAATGACCATCAGCAGCACAGCATGTCCAGTAGCCCTTTCTGCAGAGCCAGGGACCAGTCAGCACCTGCCATGGCTGATCCCATTGGAACCTACAAGAACCCTATGAGGGATCAGTACATACAGTGGGCAGAATCGGGTCACCTAAATTCACATATTCACTTCGTTGCTCCTAGAACTTCAGAATAGGCCTGCATTTGGATTTATGGTCTTTAAGTAGTTGTTGGGAGCCAAGCTAACTTGGCGAGCTCTGAGATAAGTGGCACTAAACTATTTGAAGCACTCAGTATTTTCAAAGAAGGGAGCTTGATAGCAGAGCAGAGAGTTCTGCGTTGTGAGAGCTTCACTGTTTTGCAGGATAAGTAATTTGGCTGACCTTGGGTCTTGACTGCTGTGTTCTCATTGCGATGCTATAAGTAGTGTGTTCTAAATAAACTCGGGGACACAGCTTGAATCTGTGCTCCCTCCTGCAATTCTGTCTGTCTTCTTTCTTTTCCTCAGTCCATGCTCCCCCTTTCAGGTACCCTCAATTACTTTGTCGGCTGGCTTCCGACAAGTAGTTAAGGTTCAGTGAGTTCATTGGGGGAGGCCCTAATGCAATATGACCAGTGCCTATAGAAGACTCTATAGAAGACTATGGAAGCACAGAGGGCAGTCCACGTGACACAGATAGAAGACTACACGACCTTCCTTATGGAGTATTATAAATGCCAAGGTGCTCGTGGTCTTCTGTGAAGTGAAAACAATATACTTCTTCTCTGTCATTCCTACAGATGTGTGAGGACTGTCTTTCTACTGCCCCATGTAGCTGCTGGGAGGAGTGGAGGTCCAGGTTCCTTTGGGAGTGGGATGGGGGTCACTCCAGTGGGGGAAGTCTCCAGGTTTGAATCTAGGTACTAGGCCCACCATGGCCATCTCAAGGGTCTGGGTATGCAGACCCCTGTATCATTTCTCACCTCAGATCAGCCCTGGTTGTTATTTGTGGCCGGTGATCCTGCACCCCATCCCAGGAGGTGCAGCAGCCATACCCACCCACCATCTTCTCCATGGTCTTTGGGCGGAGCTCTGCAAGGACAGTGCCCGATAGTCATCTCCTTGAGCCCACACCCTCATCATACACACGCTTTCATTTAACCCCAAATGAGAGGTCCTACTCACATGTCCTAACACTCACTCGGGTTATCCTGATCCCATCCACGGAGAGTTTTCCCTTGGTTGGCCATTACGTGGGAATGAGGGTGGTGACCACACTAAAGTTTGCTGTCAGGCGCTTATCCACAAGAGGGGCCTCTTTGGTCTGAGGACTCTGCAGAAAGACGCTGAGATGCCAGAAATGGGACACCTGTATCTATGCCGTCAAAATAACCCTAACCCTAACCCCTAACATTACCCAAGCCCAAACCCCTAGCCTTCTCAATCCTAACCCTCTAAACGCAAACCCCAACCCTTAATCCCCGACCGTAACTCTTAACCACTAACCCTAACCCTAACCTGGACCCTGACCTCACCGTAACCACCATAACACCAACAACCCTGGCCCTAACCCCTAAACCGTAAGCACAACCCCTCACTCCGCATACTGAACCCTAATCTTAAACCCAGCCCCGAGCCCTTATCCCTCACCCTTAACCCTTAACCTTAGGCCGTGGCCCTAAACCCTAACTAACTCTTCCCTTCTCATCCTCAACCTTCCGCTCTAACGCCATCCCAGCCGCGCTCTTCACGTCACCCTCATCCCAGGAAACTTTCAGCGGAGCCCTCCCACCTGGCCCCGCCCCAGGTCACACGGTGCGACCCCGGGTTGCCCCCCGAAGGGGAGCGGAAGTGTGCTCTTGAGTGTCCGTAGTACGAGCCCGGACTGTCCTCAAGGCTCACAGAACCCGCGTTCCGGAGCACGTAACAACCCCAAGCACCCGACACGGAAGCCGGGAAGCGGCCGCTCCGAAGGCTCACGCGGGAGGACACGCCCCACCCCTGTCACGGGACCGGGTTCGCCACGCCCTCACTCCTGTTGTCCAATCGCTTCGGTCGGCTTGGACGCGCCCTCCGGTGCCAGACTTCCGCCTTCCGGTGCCAGACTTCCGCCTTCCGGCCGGGCGGCTCTCGAGTCCGAGCGGCCGGCTACCCGCGCGC